CATTTCCCTGCAAATTCCATGATTTTGTCATTTTTTAGTGCTGTGTAATACTCCATGGTGTATAAATGCCACATTTTTTTATCCATTCATCTATTGAAGGGCATCTGGGTTGGTTCCACAGTCTAGCAATTGTGAATTGTGCTGCTATGAACATCGATGTGGCAGTATCCCTGTAGTACGCTCTTTAATTGCCTTCCCTTTAGAGTCTGAATCGTGGTCCATCGTATGGATGGACTACATTTTGATTCTCCATTCATCCCTCAATGGACGTTTGGRTTGCTGCCACCTTTTGGCTACTGTGAATAGTGACACTGTGAGCATGGGCCCTGCACATTTCTGTTCATGTCCCTGCTTTCAGTTCATCTGGGTATACTAGTTGACGTTGATCCACAGGGGCCAAGCTCTATTCTAAGTGCTTTGCAAGCATAATTGACTTCATCAGACGACTGAACGAAKTGGGTACTGGTGAGGAAACTGAGGCACAGATAGGTCCAGTCGTGTGCCAGTCGGTGATAGAGCTGCAATATGCCATGCTGCTTCTCCTCCAATGCTGCTCAATTTCTGAAATGCAGCTTGATTAAATGGGAYACAAGCCAGGCGCGGTGGCACACACCTGTAATCCCAGCTACTCGGGAGGTTGAAGCAGGAGGATCAAGCCCAGCCCAGGCAACTTAGCAAGATCTTCTCTCAAAATGAAAAATAATGATAATAATAATAAAGGCTGGGGATGCAGTTCAGTGATGGAGTGCCTACCTAGCATGTGTGAAAACATGGGTTCCACCCCAGTGGGGAGGGGGAGGGGAATCAGACACAAGGAAGGACTTCCAAGCCTGTGATGCAGAAATAGGAGACATTGTCCTCTACTTCTTTCAGAAAAATCCCAATATTTTTCATTGCCTTGTTCAGTCAATTAATTAAACCTCCACCCCTGCCCTGTGGTGCAGGGGGCCTGACCCAGCTCTGGCAGCCTCTGGGGAGAGGACACTACAGGGTGGTGTATTATTTGCCCTCCCTAAATTCATCCTCTGACTCTCTGGAAACGTCGATGGAGGGAAGCTGTCCAGCAGAGGAGGAAGTTGAAGGCAGAACAGACAGCATTCTGGGCTGGGCTTGGTGGCTGTAAAGGCCAGGTGGGCTGATCAGRCAGCTGCTGTAGGAGCTCTTGAGTTGCTGGGCCTGACTCCAGGCAAAGGACTGGCCAGAAGGCTTGGCTGGTAGCCTCAGTCATGGGGTGGTGCTGGCTGTAGAGTGGGCTGCCCAGGGGAGCAGACCAGGGCATTCACAGACGTCCCCAGTCCTCCCACCGTGGCCAGACCAACTTCCCTCTGTGTGATGACTTGCATTTCCCACGGCTCTTGTCTTGGCTCTCAGGACACAGCCTCTTCCTTTCACTTCTCAGGCCATCCCTAGACCTGGGACCCTTCCTGGCGCCTCTTATTCCCTGGGGGGCCCCACTCACTAAATGCACTGGGCTGACCTTGTATCTTCTGTTGACAGAAGAGGAAACTGAGTCTCAGAGAAGCTAGGTGTRCACAAAGCTTGAAGTTTTGAGGCTGGTGTTCCTGCCACCACCCAGTTTTCCTAAGAGAGGAAGTGACTTGTTCAGGGTCATTTATAGCTGCACAGGGCTTTGGCTGGAATCTGATGACCTCCCTGGGATCATGGGATGACCAGGACAGCTGACCAGGAGCCACCCTCAGCCATACCCTCCTATCTGAGGGCAT